GGTTTCTGGATGTTAACTTGAGTTTCCCTTGCTTGATTGGATGAAACTTATACAAATCTAAGATAAAGGGAAGGGGAAGAAGCCATTTGATTTTGGGGCTAATAGTTCAAAGGTCAAGTTCACTTTAATCAAAAATGGAAAATGGTTTCCAGACTGGATTTTGATTTTTCTTGCTTAATTGGAATATGAAACTTATACAGATGGAAGATGTTGTAAAGGGGAAGAAGTCAATTTCTCTTTGCGATCAATAGGTCCACGGTCAAGGTCACTGAAACTAAAAAAAGAAGGAAAAAAAGGAAAAATGGTATTAGAATTGTTACTTGAGTTTCCCTTGCTTGAATGAAATAGGTCAAAGATCTTATTTGTCCCTGTATGGCTATGGGTAAAAAAAAAATGTTTCCTTAAATAAATGTTGAGTTTGGGGAGTGCCAGCTTTTTACTTGTTTTTAGTTCTATGTTTTACCTAGTATTTACAGATAGCATGGAAATATATGGATTCTTGTCAAATGCTTTTTCACAATGGATTTCTGTGAGACAAAAAAAAAAGAGATTTTAAATTCAGTGGAATTCTACACATTTTGAGTAACGTTCATTGTTTAATAATAGCCATCTTTTCCAATAAAATCCTATTATAAAATGATGAAAGTACGTAAAGCTACAGATGGGTAACTTGAACCAAATATCATCTATAGATTTTTCTTACAAAATTTATATCCCAAAATAATGAGTAGTGAACAAGTAATTTAAATATTTCTATATTTTGTTTTTTTTTGTTTTTTTTTTAAACATGTGATTAATGCAGTGATATTTGAAATAACACTATCTTTTAAAATATCTTATTTGGAGTAATAATTATTTCATGAATATCTGCTCTACCATAGAATCAATTTCACATGGAATAAAAATTCCAATATTGGATGCATACTATCAGTTAAGGAAAGTGAATTGCATTAACAATGTAGAGAATTGGTACGACAGAGGCATGAATATTAAAGTTAAGTCTGAGTAAGTGTTAATTCCTCACAATAAGGAGATAATTTTGCACATCTCTTTAGACCACTGATTAGCAGAGATAATTTTGCACATCTCTTTAGACCACTGATTAGCAGAGATAATTTTGCACATCTCTTTAGACCACTGTTATTAACATTCTATCCAGCTTTTCTATTGTTTTAGTAAATCCCATGAGTGCTATCTGTTGTAATGTATCTCGTACAATTTATCAAATTTACACTTTCCACATCATACCAAACAAATTGTGTTTTGTTCTTGACAGAAATGATATCCTAGTAGACTATCAGTTTTTGTCCAATTTCAGTGCTATTATTTGCCAATCATCAACAATTACATAGATATAAATTGTCGGTTGATTCTGATCACATTTATAACTATATTAAGTCTTGTACGATTGCTATACAGTTAATGTTAGTGTCGGCAGTTGATGCATTGTAAAGTTTCCATTGTTTAAGTCAGAATTTACGATATGTATGATAGAGAAAAACGTGTTAAGTTTCAAGGCCTAATTGAAGAAGCATTGTGTGAGGAATAGACTGCCAGTGAGAAATTATTATTGAGGCATAATTAAAGATGGCAAGGTAAGACTGTCAAATTTTTATTCTTGCAACATATGAAGATTTACTTTTAAATGCATACAGTGAAAATTGTAAGGCATCAATTTAGTTACTCCTGATATTGTTAATAGTTTTTAATCTATCTGGAAAAAGATATTTCAAATTTTTCCAAAAGTTACAGCTAAACCGAAGAGATTTTCATGCAGAGAAAAAAAATCTGCTGAGCTAGAAATTGAATCCTTGAAAATATTTAATGAAGAAAATATATGATCTTCTTCCCTAATCCGATTTACAATGTCTTGCCCTGTAATAACTCACAAAATGAACCAATGGTTATCACTAAAAGGAGTTTACCTGTGTCTAAAAAAACTTGAAACTTATACAGACCAATAGCTATTTTGAGAAATAGGAAAGTGTAAACTGTTCTTTCTCTGGATAAATCAATGTTTTCGTAACATTAAAAGCTAACAATATGAACGCAATGATTTGGTTAGAGGTGGAACATGTTTGTGAGCACTCATATCCCCCCTTACCCTGATAGTCCGTTTGATCAACTATCTCAAGGCCTGTATGTTACCAATATTGAGGAGAAAAGAGAATCCATATTTTAAGATTATTGAAGGGTGATCACTATATATTAAATAAGAAGGTGATTTGGGAACATAGCATTTTAAAAGACACAAGCATGGAGTTTTGTTTATCAGAAACAATATAGAGGGAAAAAAGTTTTAGTGCATGATGGATTTTATTTTTTCATCATTGATAAGAACATTAAAATTAGGTGATATTTCACGAAGTTGCACAATATCATTTTGTCTAATTAACATCTACAAAAATGGTATGTCATTTTTATCATGTAATTTTAGTCTTGGGGCATTTTTCACAAAATTTTGATAAAATGATTAAAACCATATTCATCTTGACATCTTCCTAAAAATAAGGTGATAACAACAACATCATCAATACTTTATTTAAAGAGGGTTACTTAGTTAGTTATATAACTTATCTTGCCTGAGGCCCTCGTCAAAGAGAAGCATCAACAAAAAGCTGTTGAAAAAAAAAACTAAAAATGCAAACGTGTACATGGCATATATTAGTATGAAAGTCAACGAATAATGATAATGTTCAATACAACTGCATAAAATGTTATAAAAAAATAAACATGATGTTATAATTAAGTGGTATGAGTGCCAATGAGACAACAATCCACCGGAGGCCAAAGGACAAGGATGTTAGCAACTATAGGTAGACTTTGCTTTCCTGTAAATTGAATGCAAGCAAATGTAATAAAAAGCTTTGCTTTCACAATTTGTTTTTATTCAATGACCTATGTATCAGTTATTGGTGTATATCAGTTAGTATCACTCCAATGCAACCTAGAACATGTATTAAACATACATGCTCATTGTTGAAGGTCGTACAGCGACCTATAGTTGTTAATTTCTGTGTCATTTGGTCTCTTGTGGAGAGTTGTCTCATTGGCAATCATACCACATCTTCTTTTTTATATTTAAGGTGTCAGCTGTTTATATAAAAATAAGGAGATGTGTATTATTGCCAATGAGACAATTATCCACCAGAGTTCAAACAAAGTGGATGTAAGCAATAATAGGCAATCTTTAATCCTTTAACAATGAGTAAAACCCATACCATATAGTCAGCTTTAAAAGGCCCCAAAATGAAAAATGCAAAACAATTTAAACGAAAAAACTAACGGCCTAATTTGCAACAAAACAATTTACCAAAAAAAAAAAATATGACAGACATGAAGCAACGACAACCACTAGGCTCCTGACTTGTGACAAGTACAGACAGAATGTGGTGGGGTATAACTTGTCAGTTCATCATGGAAGACCTATATGACTAGAAGAATAGATTTGTTTTTCATTTGATATATGGATTATTTGCTAGTATTTATTACTGTAATGGTATATATAGTGACTCCCATAGAAGATTGACCCTGTTGTCAATTTTCAGCCATGAACTTTGTATCAAATGGGTCAATATGTGTTATTTATTTCAGGTAGGCATTAATGGTTACTTTTTCTTCCATTTCTCTGTCCATATTATAAACTTGGATTCTTTATATTGTATTTTTAGGCAAATTAGGGATATTTACCCGAATACAAGGGGGGTCAAAATACAATTGGAATTATTTTCTGTCATGGTTAGTTTTCCATAACTCATTTGCTGATGAAAAGGTTCTATCAAAACCTTGGATCTAACACTGGGTCAAGAGTAAAGGCCTATAATTTCCCAATTTTTATACGACGGTTTACGGGACGGATTATGGTATACCGTTGTCCGTCTGTCCGTCCGTCCGTCTGTCTGTCTGTCCGTCCGTCGTCAACATGTCGGACATTAACTCAAAAACGCTTTAACCAATTTGCATAAAACTTTGGTGAATTGTTTATATCTATTGACGTGAGCTCCCTTTTGTTTTTTATAAATTTTAGATTTTATGTTTCCAAGTTATGGGGTTTTATTTATGAAAAAAAGGGGGATTTTCCAGTTTTCGGACAATAACTCAAGAATGCTTTCACCAACTTGCAAGAAATTGTGGTGAATTGTTTATAACTATTGACATGAGCTCCCTTTCGATTTTTATATATTTTAGATATTACGTTTTCGAGTTACAGGGTTTTATTCATAAAAAAAGGGGGATTTTCCAGTTTTCAGACAAAAAATCAAAATTGCTTTCAGCAGTTCTTATGAAACTTTGGTGAATTGTTTATATCTATTGAGGTAAGCTCCTTTTAGAATTTTATAAATTTTACATTTTACATTTCTGAGTTATTGGGTTTTATTCATTAAAAAAGGGGGGATTTTCCAGTTTTGGACAATAACTCAAAAATGCTGTCAGCAATTCTCATGAAACTTTGGTGAATTGTTTATATCCTTTGATGTAAGCTGCCTTTACATTTTCATAAATTTCTAATATGACATTGAGAATTAATTGAACTTTAATTGTTTATAGTCTGACAACAGATTTACTAAGTATTGCGCAACAGTGTATTGCACAACAGCAAGAAATCTTTAATTGAATATAATTTCAATTCAATTCATATAACCAATTTCAAGTTCTTTGACTACATTTATTCAGAAACCTATAATATGTCAAATATTTGATACAATCCTAATTCAGACCTGTATCAAGCTTGAATATTGTATCCATTTTTGCCCCAACTGTTCAGGGTTGGACCTCTGCGTGCGTATCCAGCTGCGCTCAGCGAAGCAGTTTATTTAAAAATTATATGGTACCTGTATGATAAGTTTAAAATCCTTGAATTAGGACAGTCTCTGTTGTATACTTCTTCATTTATAGAGACATGCAAAAATGTATAATGGGGATTTAAACCAAGCAAACATACAAATCAATTTGCTTCGTATACATTAACAATTATGAAATAATAAATATGTAATATTTTAGTTTACATTCAGATAGAAACATAAACTTACATATAGTAAATGTTATTTTTATACGACCGCAAAAATTAAAAAATTTTTGGTCGTATATTGGTATGACGTTGGCGTCGTCATCGTCGTCGTCCGGCGTCGTCCGAAGACACATTGGTTTTCGCACTCTAACTTTAGTTTAAGTGAATGGATCTACATGAAATTTTACCATAAGGTTCAATACCACGAAAGGAAGGTTGGGATTGATTTTGGGGGTTATGGTACCAACAGTTAAGGAATTAGGGGCCAAAAAGGGGCCAAAAATAAGCATTTTTGGAACTTTCAGACAATAACTTGTGTGTAAGTGTATGGATCTCTCTGACATTGTACCACAAGGTTCCATATCACAAAGGGAAGGCTGTAATTGATTTTGGGGGTAATTGCCTCAAAATTTTAGGAATTAGGGGCCAAAAAAGGGGCAAAAAACAAGCATTTTTCTAGTTTCATGACAATAACTTGTGTGTAAGTGTTTGGATATTTCTGAAATTGTACTACAAGGTTTCATATCACAAAGGGAAAGCTGGAATTGAGTTCGGGGGTAATTGCCTGAAACGTTTAGGAATTGGGGGCCAAAAAGGGGCCAAAAATAAGCATTTTTCTAGTTTCAAGACAATAACTTGTGTTCAAGTGTATGGATCTCTCTGAAATTGTACTGCAAGGTACCATACCACAAAGGGAAGGCTGGGATTGAGTTTGGGGGTGATGAATCATAAGGGGGTTCAAAAAATTCGGCGGGGGGGATTTTTTTTTTTCTTTTTTTCCTTTTTTTTTTCTTTTAAAATTTTCCATTTTAAGTTGGTTATTTCTGATTTATATTTAAAAGCAAATAATAATGATATGGTAGGAGATACACACCAAACAGGATGTGTAAATTTTTATATAATAAGTATTGTGCAATAGCAAGAAATTTTCAATTGCAGAGTATTGCACAATAGCAAGAAATCTTCAATTGCACAGTATTGCGCAATAGCAAGAAATCTTCAATTGCACAGTATTGCGCAATAGCAAGAAATATCCAATAGCACAATATTGCGCAATAGCAAGAAATTGTCAATTGTACAGTATTGCGCAATAGCAAGAAATATTCAATTGCACAGTATTGTGCAAAAGAAGATACTTCTTATAAATTGCTTATTTCTTGATCAATTTCAGTGGGGTTTTATTCTTGAATTCTTTGGGTTCTTTAATATGCTGAATATAACCGTGTATTAAGTTTTTGGATTTTGGGCCCCGTTTTTAAATTGGTCCACATTGAGGTCCAAAGGGTCCAAAATTTAACTTTGTTTGGTTCATCAAAAATTGAATTATTGGGGTTCTTTGATATGCCGAATCTAACCGTGTATTTAGATTCTTAATTTTTGGTTCCGTTTTCAAATTGGTCTACATTAAGGTCCAAAGGGTCCAAAATTAAACTTAGTTTGATTTTTAACAAAAATTGAATTTTTAGTGTTCTTTGATATGCTGAATCTAAACATGTATTTAGATTTTTGATTATGGGCCCAGTTTTCAAGTTGGTCCAAATCGGGGTCCAAAATTAAACTTTGTTTGATTTCAACAAAAATTGAATATATGGGATTCTTTGATATGCTGAATCTAACCATGTATTTAGATTTTTGGGCCCCGTTATCAACTTTGTCCACATTGAGGTCAAAAGGGTCCAAAATTAAACTTTGTTTGATTTCATCAAAAATTGAATTCTTGGGGTTCTTTAATATGCTGAATCTAACCATGTATTTAGATTTTGGATATTGGACCATAATAGGTGAATGTCCAATTTAAAATTTTTAAGTTCTTAGACTACATTCATTCTGTGTCAGAAACCTATGCTGTGTCAAATATTTAATCACAATCCAAATTCAGAGCTGTATCAAGCTTGAATGTTGTGTCCATACTTGCCCCAACTGTTCAGGGTTCGACCTCTGCGGTCGTATCAAGCTGCGCCCTGCGGAGCATTTTATTTTTATGATAGTTCTAAAAAACTTATGATGAGAAAAGTTGAAATAGAAGGGTATTTTCTTCTAGTTATATAAATAGTGAAAACCTGAAATTATTTTTTCATTGCATATATCAAGCCATTTGAATTATTTGAAATAATTTGAAATATTGTGATAGCTGTTTGTACAAAACCAATAGTAAATTGTTATTTAATGGGTTTTGTATTGTATAAGCAGTATGTTGATATCCTGTTGAATATTGCTTTAAACAAAGATATTGCTGTAACCAGTAATATTGTTTTATTTTAAATAGAAAACAGCATCATTTGAAAGCTGAACTAATTCAATAAAAGACATAAAATTTTTACAATTTGTGCTTTTCAAGTTTAATATAATATTATAGATTTTACAGTTCCCTGTACATTTGAATATAAAATTATTTCTGAACTAGAGGAAAATCTACAATCTTTGCTGTCTTAGCAGCGATAACTGATGTATAATGACCATTAAAAGTAAATATGTCTTAAGCTGATCTGGACCAAAGGTCCACATATATTATATATAGGATTGGCTGGTATACTTAAGATCTTTAGCGTATGTATACTTGAGTAGATGTAATATTTGATGCAATTATCTTAGGGCTGCCCATATATATACCAGAATATAGGAAACATCCATTTATGTTTTTAAAGAAACCTTGATGTCCAGTAAGAGGAGTTAATTGACTGCATTACCATTATAATAGTCCTATAATGAATCCTACAAACATGATGTAATGACTAAATGAAAGGTTGTACAGAGACATTTAATTAAATTTACAGAAGAAAAAGCAAATTGTTAAAGAAAAAAACTAGAAGACAACATGAGCTGAATCATAACTAATACAAATACTTGTTTAAATGATCACCTGTGAAGGCAATACATGTATAATAACAAGGAATATATGTCAGTATGATAGAGTATATATTTAGTTTTAACAAAATTCAATTTAATCCTTACTGGAAGAAAGGCATCAATCAACTATTATTAATAGTATAGATATGGCACAACATAGAGCAGTTACAATTTGTCACTTATATCACAATTATCAGTCTGGTTCAATAACAGCATCTTCTTTTACAACCACAGTGGCCTACACATCAGTTATATGAAATTGACCGACTCCCATTTTTCAGTTTTGGGCCTTTTAAAGCTGACTTAGCAGTATGATATCTTTTCCCCCATTATTGAAGACTGTAAAACGTCTTATAATTGGTTATATCCACTTCATTTGAACTCTGGTGGATAGTTGTCTCATTGGCAATCATACCACATCTCTTTATTAAAAGCATCTTCTGAAATAACCACATGTTGACTCATTGAATAACTGCTACTTAACATGAGTAGCAAATATTTTATGGGTATTCAGCAAGATAACATGCTCTGATATGATATGAGGCTGAAACATATTTGTACTAGACTGGTATACTGAGCCATATCTTTAACATGGTAGCTGACAACGGAGACATGTCGCACATTATTCTGACTCGCAGTCAACCAGTCTTTGCTCTCTCTCCCGACTGTCCCATGCTTAAAGAAAAAGCAGCAAAGACCAATTGTGATATGTGTTGGTGAGTATGCCATAAAGAAGCAATCAAGGTTGTTACATAACTGAGGTAACAAATGAAAATCTTCATTTTCACCAATTGTTCTACTCTCAAATATTATGTAGGATAAATACCAATATACTACCTGTTAAACAGAAGGGAAACAAAGCATAATCACTCTGTGACTGAAGTACAGTGGAATATCATCACCCAAAACCTACAGAATTATTGATCTGACTTATAACAGAAGACATGAATGTATTCAAGTAGAAGCAATGATTCTCTATATTCTAACCAACAACATCTACACATGTCTTCCATTTTATGTATTGGCGTCTTTTGTTTTTAGTTTTGCACCAGTCAAACACAATTAGTACACATCAAATGAATTAAAAATAGGATTTTGAAAAACATGCATCTCTTGCCGGCAGATAATCAGCTTTAATTATGAAATAAATTGAGATATGGGTTATACATCGATGAGATTGCAACTCTTGACGACAAAAATAACCAAAAGACATCTAGAGATCAACGTATAGTCTCCAATAATATGTCAAGCTTTAATTCATCTCGAGTATACAAAAAACTATGAATGAAGTAAACAATCAAATATTTATCATCAACACCTAATTCTATAAAGTGTCTATACCATTTATATCTGACATTAACAACCAACATCCTATACCTTGGAAAAAAATGATAGACACTACAGACAAAAACAAACCACAACAGGTGACAAGACAGGAGGATCCTTGTCAATGGTTGAGCTATATTTGTTGTTTTTGTCCTTTAAAGAATAAGGTATTAATGTCAAATCTTTGGTAGGTCCGTATTAATGTTAAATCTTTGGTAGGGTCCATCATATTCACCCACAATTCAACTATACCATATCTGAATGACCCTTCAGTCATGGTCGGTTGACATGTAGATATTCATGTATTTTTTGGGTTGTTGGGTTGCTGTGTCTTTGATGTCCACTTTCTAATATTATATTGAAACTTTTTATTCTCCCCATGACAAAACTGCTGAAGTTGAATATAAATTCCAGCCTATTGTTGGTATAATAGTAGGAAATATTTACTGTTTTGTAGGCATCAGTAGATGTCTTATATTTTGGTAATCACCCCTTTAGTTATTCGTCATCGATTTTACCAAAATAAGATACCAGATCTTCATCAACAGTTTACTGTTATCCATGGCTGTTCTGAGTTTGATCGCATGCAACACAATGTAATTGTAAGTTGTATAATAGAGTTTATGTCTCAAACCATTTTTCTGACCACTGAGAATGAAATTACATTATTTTTACACAAATCAAATTTGAATCTAGATTTATTTGAAGTTCCTATCATCTTTCAAGTATTTAAAAGCTTTGCAAGAAATCCTATAGTTCGCTAATGACTATAATGTCATTTAGAAGATTTTCATTTGTGCTATGAAGAGATTTTTTTCCAAGATTACAGATATTTCCAGGAAAAGGTTTCCTGTCTGGAGGTTTTTGTTCTGAAATTAATTACGTTGTTATTAAAACCTTTGGTTTATATTGAGTCCATTGAAATTAAAGTGATCAGCTGGAGAAGACAGATGAAATTGGATAAGGCTTGAAATATTTTTCTCTTTGGGACAATCATTTGAGCTTTAGCTGTCACAGAGAG